AGTCCTTCCCCGCAGGGCTCCTCTCAATCCCTTCATCCTCCAGCCTGTACTGATACTGGGGATTATCCCGACCCAAGTGCAGGACCCTGCACTTGTCCTTGTTGAACTTCATGAGGTTCACACAGACCCACCTCTCCAGCCTGTCCAGATCCCTCTGGATGGCATCACATCCCTCAGGCATGTCGACTGCACCACTCAGCTTGGTGTCATCTGCAAACTTTGAGGGTGAACTCGATCCCTCTGTCTATGTCATTGATGAATATATTGAACAGCACTGCCCCAGTACAGACCCCTGGGGGACACCACTCGTCACTGTTCTCCATCTGGACATCAAGCCATTGACCATTACCCTCTGGATGCGACCATCCAGCCAATTCCTTGATAACCTGATCTAACCTGAAAGGGGTCCTTGCTTTGTGCAGCGGGTTAAACCTGATGACTTTCAGAGGTCACTTCCAATCAAATTCCATGACTAAGCCAATATATTAAGCTTGGCATCTGTATTTTATTTCTAGCATTCCACTACAGGTACTCAGCTATGTTTCTTGTACTTGCAAAAGAGAGATCACTTGCTGTTCTAAAAATTAACCTTACAGAAATCCAAACAAGAGGCACCATTACCTCAAGAATTAATTGAATGTACCAGGTAATTGTTTGTTTGATGATTATGTTTAAGAATGTACTTTAATTCTGAGCCTTTAAATACTGAGCAGGCACCATTGCACTGTTGTAAATTGAGTAGCACATCCTTAAATCTCAGTTATACACTAATAAGCAAAAGCAACAAAATAGGCATTAGGTAGCTAACCAAAGTTACTTCTAACATTGATGCTACTATATAACAAACTAGTCCTTAGATAAAAAAGGTTCTTATAGTTTTAGTACATCTCCTACTATTTATTTTTAAATTTTGAAATTCCTTATTCAATTTTTTTCCTCTTATTTTAAAAGAGCCTTCCTGCAAATAGTGAAACAATTCACATTTGGTGACATTAAAGCAAATCTATGTTAGATAAATGTCTCAAAAAGGTTACAAGACTAAGACCATATTCTAGTCACATGTAACACTTCAATTGGAGATCACAATGTATTTTTAACAGGATCACATACTCTCCATACCCTGCATAGCACCTCAGTGACTTGAAAAAGACTTTTTGAAAACAGTCCAAGCTCCCAAGCTGCAAGTCCATGCTTTGATTATTTAAGACTAATGAAATAAAGCTATCAGGTGTACTACTAGCTGGCAGCCATACTACATACTCAATCTTTTCATTAGATTAAGTAGCATACTTTCATACTTCTCGTTTTCACTGTACATTACTCTCAGTAACACTTTCTTCATGACTTCATGCAAAAGTAACCAAAGAACTAAGATTTCAATGACAGACTGAGGCAGAATCCTGACCATAATTCATAAACCAAGGAAAATTAGTTTATACTAACAGTCACATTAAAATATAGACATAACTTAAAGACTTCATACTTTTTGATCCTATTTGTTAGCTAGATAGAACAACACCACCAGTTCCTTGCAAACTCTTATAATCCAACATACTCTTCTGTAATATGTAGTGCTCCATTTTTCAGGGGTTTCTTGTTTTTCTCATTGATTTCAGTAATACAGATGTCTTTGTTGTAGTAGTACTCTGTAGAAACCCAAAACTTTACAATTTAAACTCGGGGAGACTACCTTTTAGGTTTCATTACACAACAAGATTTCTAGAAGTTGAAGGTACCCACACTGTGTACAGGTAGCCAAGTATCAAGGGAAGACTGCTGGAACTGATTCAACACTGCTGAGGTCTACTACCACAGATCATAACACAGATGGACTGCCAGGATGAAAGTGATGCATCTTAATGCCCCTTCCCCCCACTCAGGGCTATGAAAACACTGGTGAAACCATTACCTGAAATGGGTTGGGAAAAGGGTGAGAGATTACCCCTAGCATCTTGGATGTAAAGGAGAAATCTTATTCTCCTTCGGCTTGCACTCTTACGTTGTTAAAAGTGTCCTGCTTACATTAGGCACAGCATTTCGGTGAGCTGCAAAGCCATCATGGGTTTACAAGTGTGTTAACATCCTAGGCATGTTTAGGATTCAGAACAGAGATTTCCATATGTACGTTTTTCATAAGGAAGTGATTTATAACAGCAAGGTACATTAACTGGGAAGCAAGAATATCTGGGGCTGTTATTTATTCATAAAGATGATTAATAGTTTGATGAATCTAGCTCATGACAGCTCCATGTGGCAAGTATCCCGTGCTGATAACTACATTAAGTATCAACAAATTGGATGCCATATCTGGCAGATTAAGTGAGGTTAATATTCTTAACTTTTACAAAGTATCTCTTCCATATATCCAAGCAGGACTGGAGAAGTTTGAGTTTAGCTTGTCAGCACCATTATTAGCTAGACAGAAATAACTACTGCTGCAGGACTGAAATAAAACTGATCACTACTACACAAGTGACCACATTTGTTTCCAAAACTCAAATAACTGCAAGCTAGTCACTTCTGACTTGCTATTCCTTCTGGAACAACAACTGTCTACAGCATGACCATAAACTAGTAAGCAAGCAAGAAAACAAATCAAGAAAGAGAGAACAGTGAAGACTATACCTTTGATTTAATCCTTAATAAATGTTGCTCCACTTCTTCAATATCTTCAGTGTTCTCTAAACGTTCATATGCTGCACTGGTAGTTCCCTTGATCAAGTTTAGAGGCAAAGCTGACATGCCATAAGCCTAAAATAAAAAGGAAACATACATACTCAAATTTTCTGCCATACATTTTCATCTGATAAGGCTGCTGTATGTTGTAGCTATAAGGTATCACTGCTGTTCCCCCCTCCCCAGACTCTAAGGCAATCAATTCTTTTCCTTTTTGAGCAAAACATAACAAACACTATGCAGACTCCAGCATCCTTCATTGTTCCAACAGTACTTAAGTGTGTCATGATCGCTGAGACAACAGCATGTCTTAAGACTTCATATAAGCACAGCCCACTGAAGATTTATCAAGCTAGCCCTTGGGTTTTGTTTTGGTTTTTTTTTTCCAAATCATTTAGCTTTCCAAAACCTTGACTTTCCCACTTTAGATCATAATCAAAACATTGTGCAATACAGGAATTTCTAGATATTGAACTTTAGTTTTAGAAGGAAAGTATACACAATTTCTTTTAGCCAGTAGTCTTCAGTTTACTTTTAAAATGAAATTATGTAGAAAGTACCTGATTTACTAAAAAAAATCTGCCGTAAAAAGACACAGCAGAAGCTAGGTGAACACCTAAACTCAATTACATTCCAAGACTGCTTAGATACCCGTTCACATTCAATAATTTTGTTGGCATTTACTCCTAGTTATAAATCCTACACCATTCAAAGTGTTTGCCAGCTTCTACATCAACACTATGCCCAGGTTTTTCCAATGCAAATTCTGTAAGCTTTCCACTAACTTAAGAAGATAGATATTTGAGGTGAGGTAAACAAGAAAAATGCCACTATTTCCTCCCTGCTACCCTGAGTCTTACAGATCTAGGCCAAGGTCAGAAGTTTCTCCAAGCAGTTTACAGCCATTAGCCATAGGCTTTTTATTTGTTTTACTGTGGGTGGGAGGCTGTTGGTGATAATTTGTTCTTGATGCAGA